CCCTGAACATTCCTATATATATTATAAAATTCTTTGAACCTCTAGTGAATAACACTATACAATTTATATAATTATGTTAAAATAGTTATTAATACCATTCATGTTTCTATACACTATATGCAGTATGAAGCAGTTATCATCACCGTTATTCAATTTTGAATCAAAATGTCCCAGTTGGGTAAACAGCATAAAATGTGAGCCTACAAATATATAAAGTTGATTATGTAAATATTGAGATCTTCTAGAATGAACTTATAACCCAGAGACTACACTTGGAACCTCTGCTCTCCTTGCCCAACAGACAAAACAGAACTGAGAAACTTGTGTGTCACTGTCAAAGAGCAGGAAGCAGATGAATTGCCAGAAGCCTGAAGACACCAGTGCACAGGTGTTCGTCAGACCATGGTGTGGGTTTATCATCAAAGTTATCCAAAAGAACAAAATAGAAGACAGCAAGGAAAAGGAGACACACATAGTCACCAGAATGAGCCAGTGCTTATGGTGCTTATCTCACCTGGATGAGAGCAGCACTCTGGTCTCATGGGAAAGTCTACGGTAAGGCTGTTGTGGTGAATGTGTTGGACTCGCCGTTAGTGTCTGTGCAGAACTAACCCATCTTCCCCTGCCCTCAGACACGAGAGCTCATGGATCTTGGCCCTTTGCACACTGGGATTTACACCAGCAGGCCCTTGGTTCTCAGGCCTTCGGACTTGCACTAAATGATACCAGCTTTCCTGGTTCTCCAGTTTGCAGACAGCAGGTTTTGGGACTTCTCAGCCTCCATAACCAATTCCTACAATAAATGTCCTCTTAACATAGTCATCTTTTAGGGGATGTATCCACAGGGACCTGGTTCCAGCCTCCACCACTTGGATATCAGAATCTTCAGATGCACAATTACCTTACATAAGATGGCCCAGCACAGTTGGCCCTCTGGATGTTGGGGTTCTGCATCTGGGGTTGGCTGAATCCGGGGATGCAGAACTCGCAGATATGGAACTGTATCTATATATCCTACTGCTTCTGTTTTTACGGAGAATGCTAACACAGACAATACAAATTCCCAACTGTAGAAAAGTCCCTGCAATCACAAAGGAAATAATAATCACGTCAGTTGAAAGCTGCTCTTTGGCCCCGTTCCTGTTTGCCCATTTCTGTCCCCCCTCACCTTGAAAGAACCTAATTAAAGGAATGAGATCAGTAAAAAATTTAAACTAACTCCTGACTTATGCTCTCCTGAATGCACACCATACCTTGCCTGACCTGTTCATTGTTTTCCTAGGTTAAAAGAATTAAGTAAAGAATAACTAGCTCTCTACCCTCGACAGATCCCTAAGCAATCCTGCAGGCAGACCCCACAGGGGTAACATCTGAAGTCAGCCAGACTGAATGCAATGGAAAAGTTGAAGAAACTAACCTGCCTTGACGATTCACTGAGATTCTTCCCCCTTTTTCCTTTTAAAAACTATCATGGCTGGGAATTCCCTGGCAGTCCAGTGATCAAGACTTCACGCTTTCACTGCAGTGGGCACGGGTTCGACCCCAGCTCATGAACTAAAATCCCACATGCTGCAACGTGTGGCCAAAAAACAAAACTGTCATGGCTGACCAGAATGTTCAGAGTTGGTCTCAGGACATGAGTCCACCTTCTCTCCGGACTGCCAGCTTTTCTGATAAAAACATCTTTCCCTTCTGACACTTCCTTCTCCATTATTGGCTTTTCAGCAGTGAGCAGCCAAACCTGAGTTTGGTAATACAATGAGATAAAATTCTGCATTTATGCTACTCCCAGTAGTTCAAGACTCAGGAGACCATTCACAAACATGCTTCAACTTTGAACAACGCAGCCACTGTACTATACTAAAATAGCCACTGTACTATACTAAAATAGCCACTGTACTATACTAAAATAGTCCCTTCTGAGACTGATGGTGTCAAAGATAAACACAACCAGATGTTAGTTGAAATGATAAAAACAATAATGGAAAAAAACGTTTTATTCAGTAACTACTGACAGCAGGAAAGAGTTGAACTCCATGGTAATTTCTGCAGAGGTGATCAGGTGTTTTAAACGGAGAATGAGAGGGACTTCCCTGGCGGCCCAGTAGTCAGGAATCCACACTTCCACTGCAGGTGGCACAGGTTCAATCCCTGGTTGGGGAACTAAGATCCAGCACGCAGTGTGGCACAGCCAAAAAAAAATAAAAAACAAAAAAACAACCAAAAAACCCTGTGATTTTATATATATATATATATATATATATATATATATATATATATATTTTTTTTTTTTTAAAGAGGCTGCTACTGGGAGGTTAGATGGTTTTTTTTTTTTTTAAATAAAGGGAGAATGAGAAAACGGAAGATGGGAGCTCAGTAGTCACAGAACTGAAACATTATAAAGTGTTGGGAAATGTAAACAAGATTAGTGCAGCTGTATTTGATAGGCAGTAATTATGAAAACTAGGATTCTATCCTATCCAAAGAGACTGAGAGACACCAAAAAGACTGAGAGACAGAGGCCTAATTAATCCTGATGACTACATTTCAATGGATTAGCTCTCAGCTCTTTGAGAAACATACATATAATTATAATCTCTTCTTAGTAAATGCTGAAAAAAAGAGGCTGGTGGAGTGGTGCCATTCATCAAGTTTACTTAGAACTAAGTAAATTCTCCTGGCAGATTAATCTGAAACTGTAAAGTACATGTCTCCATTACATTGTATGAATCAAAAGCATTGAAAAAACTCAAGATATGTTCTTTGAGTACTGAAAGCAATTATTCCATAAAGCAGTAAAATGGGTATCTTTGTTGTTTCACTGTCCTACTCGTTAAAGAAAAGGAAAATCGTCAATGAATCAAAGAATAAGCAGAAGAGGAAATTCCCTGGTGGTCAAATGGTTAGGACTTTCACTGCAAGGGCCCAGATTCAATCCCTGTTTGATGAACTAAGAAACTAAAAGCTGTGCAGTGTAGGAAAAAAAAAAAAAAAAAGCAGAAAACAAAATGAGACATTTAACCAAAGACAGCAAATATAAATCTGAAAAGATGCTAACCATGAATCCTTAGGGAAATTCAATTAAAACAGTGAGAGAGCACAGCAAACTCATAAAAAGAGTTAAAAAAAAAAACGACTGACAAACTAATTATGCACTAAGATGTGGAGGAAATGGAACCTTCATACAACTGCTGGTATGAATACAAAAAAATACACAACACTGTAAATCAACTAGATTCCAATAAAAATTTTAAAAACAAGGAAAAAGAAAAAAATACCATGTTTAAATAGCAATTTGTTAGTTTCTTCAAAAGCTAAACTTCACCTAACTTTGTGTTTCAAACACTGCAATCTAATTTTTTGGCCAAAAGATAAAATAAACAAATATCCAGATTAAGAACTGTACACAAATGCTTGCACAAGTTTATTATCAACTGTCAAAACATGGAATTAACCCAAATAGCCATAAACAGGTGAATGGATAAATACTGTTATATCTAATGGTAAGAATATTACTCAAAAAAATAAAAGAGAGCTCCTCATTTAACATCATTGATGAATCTCAAAATTATTATAAAACACAAAACCAGGAGAAAACAAAAGTAAACATTTTAGGATTCCATTAGGTAAATTATAGAAATCGCAAGGGTATCTATTACAAGGAGAAATAAATCAATGGTTGCTTGAAGGGCTGTGAAGGGCAGGGACACAGATATTATAAAAGAACATGGAGAAAATACACAGTGATAGACATGGTCATTACCATGACTGTGATGATGTTTTCACAAGTATCATGTGTATGTCAGAACTTATCAAATACTTCACTTTAAATGTGTGTACTTTACTACATGTAAATTACACCTAAATAAAGCTTTAAAAAAACACTTCTAGATAAACAAAATCTGTATGCCCCACTTTTTTGGAGAATAGATTTGACAGCCCTATACTGACTCCACCATGTTTCTGTCATTCCCTCTGGGTGTCAATCCTGCCTCAGTGGCAGCAAACACTGGCGAGTAATAAAGGACATTTCCACTTCAGCCAACAGGAATGTTGGCTGGCTCACAAAAGCCACATCCCTGGACTACTTCTCTCTACCTTTCTTTTTTCTGCCTGTGCAGCAACGGCCTTGAGTCAAACATTACAGGGAGGTTACAAAAATCCACAAAACTTTCCAATTATCTTCTCTGACAATGACCTCAGCTACACAAGTTAAACATGCCTGGAGGTCCTGAGATTTGTGTACACACTGATCCTGCACATCAGTCATCATCACAAAGACATCTGTGGATGCACTTTTAGAAGAGGCACATTCCAATGAGCTGGCTGCTGTCTCCTCTGCTCCCTACTAACCCAGTTTCTGTATCAGTTTCAGTTTCCCCTGACCCCTATAGTCTTACAACAAGTGACTGTCACCCATGGAATTGTGGACATCAGAGCACATGCTCTTTGCAAGACCATGGGAGATGCCTCTCAACAGTGCTGACATCTCTTGTGATACCCCCCGTGAACAGGGGGAAAAATTCATGCTGCTCCAAGAACTTGAGATTGTCACACCTTACTCCTCTTGAGGGTGATGTCAGAGTCTCCTAAAGCTCATAGCATCCAGGCTTCAAATGCAGACTATCTCTCCTACAACTTTACTGGCATCAATGCAAATTTGACCAAAAATGACAAGCCATGTTTTGCAATCGTACTATCCTCCCTGAGGCCCATGCCTGTGGAGCCCAAATCTCCGTATAAAAAAACCTCTAGCAGTACAAAGAACTCCAAAAACAAAATAGGCCTTAAACAGTAAGGCATCCATATTATACAAACCAAAACAATGTGTGGCATACAGTTTGGATTGGTGACTTGCTAGATGGAAACACTGAGCATGAGAGAATATGTCCTTGGAAAAGTTTGTCCTTCTCTGCACATTGTCAGCTGAATTCATATGACGTTCTCTGAGCCAACATTCCTTCAGGCTTTTGTACACATAGAGAGAGGGGAACACCAACCCCTAACGGACTGGGCTACCACTCCTGGTTTACTCCAACACTTGGTAGAACAGAGGTCAGTTTCCCTGAGCGCACTGAGCTGGTGACTGATGCACACTGCGTGGACCTGCCAGGCGATAGAGGTAAAACGGCCACAGAAACGGGCAGTGACATCAATCTGGGAAGAGACCTGTACAGGTTACAAAGTGCAATACAGCCACACGTGCTACCCACATAACTGAAATTTCAGGGGTATCTCCCCCTGTGGACAACTGAATGTATGAGATTGAATTCAGATGGGCCACTCCTCAGTTTCTTCCAACGTTGTTACCCTGAACAAGAAAATTGGACTTTTCCTTGCATATTCAAGTCCTTTCTCCAGTGTAAACTCTACCATGCATACTGGGGTGAATTCTTTTGTTTTTTAAATATTTATTTGGCAGTGTTGGGTCTTACTTGCGGCACACGGGATCTTCGTTGCAGTGCACAGGCTCTAGAATGTGTGAGCTCAGTAGTTGCATCTCGCAGGCTTAGTTGCCCCATGGTATTGGGGATCTTAGTTCCCCGACCAGGGACAGAACCCACATTGCCTGCACTGGAAGGTGGATTCTGAACCAAAGGACCAACAGGGAAGTCCCATGAGATGAATTCTTTAGGAAACAATTTCCCAAATTCCTGGCACGAATAAGGCTCTTCCTGTGAACTCTAATAAGAACAAAACGTGGAATTAGAAGTAAACAATTTCTCACATTCACAACACACATTAAGACCTTCCACCTCTGTCAACATGGATGTGGAAGGAGTGCAAAGCTCTGGGGAAAAGATTTCTCACATTCACTACTCTCATATGTCCTCGATCCTGTGTGAACTCTCTGATGATAACGGAGGCCGGACCTAGACGAAAAGGATTTCCACATTCACTGCATTTATAAGGCTTTTCACCAGTATGAATTCTACAGTGTTCAGTGAGATAAGAATTTGCTCTAAAGGACTTCCCACATTCAGTGCATTCATAAGGACTTTGGTTACTGTGAATTCTGTGATGTTCACAGAGAATGGAACTACAAATAAAAGATTTCCCACATTCACTACACTCATATGGCCTCAATCCTGTATGAACTCTCTGATGATAACGGAAACCATACCTAGATGAAAAAGCTTTCCCACATTCACTGCATTTATAAGGTTTTTCTCCAGTGTGAACTCTACAGTATTCAATGAGAGAAGACTCTTTCCTAAAGGTTTTCCCACATTCACTGCACTCATAAGGGCTTTCTCCAGTGTGAACTCCATGATGATAACGAAGGTTCCTCCGAGTAGTAAAAGATTTTCCACATTCATTATACTTATAAGACCTTTCTCCTGTATGAACTCTGTGGTGTATAAGAAGGTAACATCTTTGGATAAAGGATTTCCCACATACACTGCACACATAAGGCCTTTCTCCTGTGTGAATTCTCTGATGATTACTGAGGTTGGAACTAGAGGAAAAAGATTTCCCACATTCACTGCACACATAAGGCCTTTTTCCTGTGTGAACTCTGTGATGATAACGGAGGGTGGAACCAGAGGAAAAACATTTCCCACATACAGTGCACTCATAAGGCCTATCTCTAGTATGAGTCTTCTGATGATAACACAGGGCAGAGCTGGAGGTAAAATATTTTCTGCACTCACTGCACTCATAAGGCCTTTCTCCTGTGTGAACTCGCTGATGATAATGAAGGCCAGTAAAAGACTTCCCACATTCACTACATTCATAAGGCCTTGATCCAGTGTGAACTCTCTGATGATAATGGAGGCCATGGCGAGACATAAAAGATTTCCCACATTCAATGCATTCATAAGGCCTTTTTCCACTATGAACCTTCCAGTGTTGAGTGAGGTAAGATTGATGACCAAAGGATTTCCAACACTCACTGCACTCATAAGGCCTTTTTCCTGTGTGAACTCTCCGGTGGAGAATGAGTATCGAGCTATTGGTAAAAGATTTCCCACATTCACTGCAAGCAAAAGGCCTTTCCCCTTTATGTACTTGCTGGTGTAGGACGAGCACCAAACTATTGGTAAAAGAGTTCCCACACTCACTGCAATCATAAGACCTTTCTCCTGTGTGAACTCTCCAGTGTACAATGAGGTAAAATTTTCGTCTAAAAGATATCCCACATTGAGTACACTCATAACACCTTTCTCCAGTGTGAAATGTCCGTTCTCGAACTATGAGGGATCTGTGGCTCAAAGACTGTGCACATTCACTGCACAAGTAAAAATTTTCTCCAATGTGACTTCTCCAGGGATAAGTAAGGACAAAGTTTTGGTTAAAGGATTTCCCACATTTGCTGCACTTGTACTGCCTTGCCCCAGTATGAATTCTTCGATGCAGATTGACGGTTGAGGTTCGCCTGAAAGATTTTCCACATTCACGACACACATGAAGCCTTTCTCCAGTATGCACTCTCTGGTGCACAACAAATGAGGATTTGTACCTGAATGTCTTCCCACATTCACTGCACACAAAACAATGTCTTCCAGGGTGGACACTGGTTCTGAACAAGTACATGTTTCGGACTGAAGGCTTTCTTGAAATCTCCCCAGCTGTAATGACTTTCTCTGCTTTGTAAAGTTGCCTCTTGCTGGGCAATCTTGTTTGGCTTCTCCCTGGTGTGAGTGGTCTGTTGCTGGAGATGTCCCAAGGTGGCCAGAAAGTCTTTCCCAACTTCCTCACAGGTAAAGGGCTTCCTTCACACATGGCATTTGCAGCTCTTCACAAACAAGGCCCTGACTACAGTGTTACTGAAGGATTTCTCTGCCATGTGCTGCTTCTGGTGTTTTAGGAGGTTTGCACTAAAATGAAATCGTTTCATACATATTCTACACTTGAACACTTTCTGGCTGTGTTGTGCTTCTTCATGCTCAGCCAAGTGAAAAATACTTCTCAAGACCAGACTACACGTCTCACTGGAGTAGTTCTTCTCAGAAAACAAAGGTGTCTTAGGAGTCCTGGCCTGTGACATGCTTATAGAAATGCTTCGTTGAAAGGGTGCTTCTGCATCCTCTGCTCCACAGCAGCAACCTGAATGCAAATAAATGGTGGTGAAACACATGCAAATAAACATGTTGATGTTATAGGGAGGGGGCAACATCATCATAAAGGTAATGTGTCACATCTAGGAAGGAGTCTACAGGATGCTTTTCCAGAAAGGAGATTTGTAATTCCACTGGGGAAGTGGCTACTAGGCATGAATTTGCCTGTAAGGCAAAAGAATGATACACTACACCAAGGAAGGACATTAGGATAGGGTGCAGCACCAAGTAGAGAGGCATATTCTGGAAATTGTTCATATGCCAGAGGATTCCTGCAGGACCTATTCTGCTAGTGACGTGACACTGTGTAGAAGCATATGTCCAAACCCAGCAGAAACCAACTGCAGTAGAACAGCTGCTGTTCAAGGCCAATTTGAGGATATGTGGACACCTCATAGCAAATGCGGACCAAAGCTGCAGAGCAAGAGAGGAGGAGATATGAGAGTAATGGCTAAGATTTGAAGTCCAGAGACATGGGTCTTGTCCCTGGGCTGGAAGTCAGAGTAGATATCACAGTGAAGTAAAACTGACTAGTCAGCACAGGTTTAACAGTGGGGAAGGGAAGTACACATGGGCTGTGGTGCGGGCAACAACCAAAAACATACTGGGTAAGTGAGAAACATTCCTGGTATGATCTGAACACAGTACTGATGTCACACCCTCCAGGTTCACCAACGCAAGGTACCTGTGAGTTCACCTTGCAGACTTGGCTATTGAGAATCCCTATAATTTTTGGTGTCCCTGACCTCAGCTGACAGCTGCAGAGCCACTACATGGCTGGTCCATTCTGACAGCCCAAACTCCCACACCCCACCTAGCCAGTGATCTTGTAACCAACCCAAGTTAAGGTCTTTCCCTCT